TGTTCCAACCTGCTGTAGTGTACAGCAGCACAGTGAGCGTAGCATCCTCCAAGCCTTTCAATACTCAGCTGATATTCAGGCACAGCACACAGCCGCAAAATAGGCTCATTTTCCAGCAAGGAAAATAGACATGCGTTTTATATGCGTGCAGAGCAAATGGAATACTGATGACATAAAATAGCGAGCTAGCAATGTGCTTAAAGTGCATTAATTAATTGCTATTGCTGCTATTTATTTTTATAGGCTGTAGGCAGTAAAGAATTATGGCGTTAGATTGACTGTGAAATCACACAGCATAAATGACAGTGCTATTACAGACATTGGTCTGGGGAAAAAAGCATCCTATTCCAAGCACGTAGAGGAACCCCTTAGAGCTAGAAGAGGTATTTCAGTGTCAGGTAAGTGCAAACCATCTTAATCAGTGGAATTACGGAGTTGTCAGAGAAGCCATCCCGAGGTACCCTCCTCGGAAGTTGTGCAGATATCTTCCATCTCAAGTCCCACAGCATGTCCAGGTGTCGGCTTGCTGCCAAATACTATAAGAGGAGACAAACACTTATTTAATCCCTACTTAAAAATAACTGCTGAAGTTTATAACTGTTCTGCATGGGTTATTGCCTTGGTACGCAGGGTAATATCAAGACAAGCAGCTGAGTTACTCAGTGTTAGTCTCTTCATTACCATAAGTGCTATGTTTGCAGTGCTTTTCTTGTTTCACTAAGATGAACTTCAGTACTGGTTGGAAACTGTTTCTAAGTTTTAAATAACCCTACCTCCAGATACTCGTTTTGGATGACAAGTGTTGGGTGGGAGTGGATCTGTGACATAACGCTGATTTCCTATCCTAGGAGAGTAAGATCTGGTAGTTACTTTCAGATATGCTTCCTAGACTTCCTACAGCTTCCCTTTCCCTGTTTTCTCATCTCTGCGGTTGTGCAGAGTCATCTCAGCTGGGCAGTGTCTCTCTGTCCACGTAAGCAGCTGGCGAGGGGCACAGCGTCTCACCCAAGGCGTGGCTACTGGCTCTGTTCTCAGAGTTACTCTTGTCAGCTTTAAATCAGGACTATTTTAATATCCAAGAAAGTTTAAGTGGGATCCTTGTGTTCTCCGCTGGTCAACTGGGTGTCAAGTTAAATCGCATCAGATGGTTCAATGCATGTGGGAGTACGTGAGGGTTTGTGACTGGGGTTGTGGCTGGTGGAGGTGTAGCTGATGGTGGAGGGATGGAGGGATGTGTGAAGAGCAGGGCAGGGCTATTTGGATTGTGGGAAAGCTGTGACTTCCCCCAGCCTGCAGAGGTGGTGGGTAAGAGGGAGGGTGTAACCGTAGAGAATCCCTTCTGTGCCCCAGGTTCACTCATGAGCTAGATTTTTCTAAATCAATGAGTAAATCTAAGGACTTTGTAAAGGCTAGCGCCTCTCTGAACTGTAATGTACGTGATCTTTGTTATGGGCATATGCCAAAATAAGATGCAAAGAAAGGGCCAAAAGTCCACCTTGCTCAGTTTTCTGTGCCAAAAAATGCATTAATGGACTCCTTTTCTTAGGAACCTTGCTTACAGCTAATCATTTTGGAGGGAACTCTAGAAGAGCTAATGTCCATTGACAAGTATTGAGATTAAGAGGCCAAATGTGGCATCAAGGTCTGATACAAATGATTTTTGAAACCTATTGGAATGCTAAAAACACTAAAACCCTGGATCACTGGTACAGATAACAACTTGTGTGCTGACTGAGCCTGTTTGAAATCTGTTTTCTTTCTCTGAAGAAATATTTTACAACATACCTTGCATAAGGTATATTTTTGCACCAAAAGCCTGTTTTTGTTTAAAAACTGAAATAAAAAAGCCATAACATTTTTGCACCAAAAGCCTGTTTTTGTTTAAAAACTGAAATAAAAAAAGTTTTTCTTCATTATGGCACATGTAAGATTGCTTCGGCTAAAATCTTCACAAGTTGTGTTTTTAGTGGCATAAAAGTGGCTGGCTTTATAAAAGAAATACTCAAGAGAATTAGTCTTCCATAAAAATGTTCTTGCACTAAACTGAATCAGTAGTCATACTGACGTACAGCAGGAGATTTAATAGCCTTGCTGAGCGGAAGAGGTTATCAAATCTCTGAAGAAGAATAAGCATGTTGACCACTAGTCTCAATTCAATTTGTTACGGATCTAATTAGTTCCAAATAAATTTATACTATAACCTACTTATATGTCAGTTTATTTCTACTACGGTATTACACAGAAAGTAGTACTGTCAGTGAAAAAGAAAGAGCTTCTTTCCTTATTTCCCATGCATTTTCTGCTCCTAACCATAGAATTCAAGGATTTGAAATTTTGTGCAGTATCAGGGAACAGTTAAATAAAACTGCTAGATACTTGTTATATTGTAATATTTGCTAAGTGCTGATTTTATGGAGGGAGACGGATGCATCTGCTTAATTAAGCAGAAGGATTAAACGGAAGAACTGTTTTTGAATGTTGATATTTATATTTTGTGGATGGTATTGGGTTTCAGGTATTCAAACACGAGGAAATTTAAAAAAAAAAAAACCCACATTTTTTTTCCTCATTTCATCCAAGTTTGTTTTACATTTGATACTTTTTGTGGGTCTGTGATCTCTCTCTCATTATCCTTTAAAAGATAGTCTCTTTAAACAAATGTTTTAACCATATCTCAAAATCCCTTTTTAACATTGCTCAGGCTTCATTCCCAAGCTATAGATATCTGAAGCCTTTTTTCCCATCTTTTTACCTTCTTACTGGGATGCTGTTCCACAACCTCTTTCCTATGATGGTTAGAAACACTTACATTAATTTGCAGCCTCTATTTATTCATGACCAGGGTTTCTCACTTATTCTTGTGAGAACATTCTCACTGGATTTCTTTAGCTCTTCATCTTTTCTTTAACTCTCTATTTAAACCTCAGATGTGTGTTGAGATATTCGTTGTCTCCTAAGATGTCTTTTTTTTTGTTATGCTGAAAAAGCCAAGTTTTGCTTGTCTCTTAAAATAGGCTTTTATTCTTTATGTCATCCTGAGAGCCCTGCTATACTGTGAATTAGTCTTCTGTGAAAATAACTGAGCAAGATATAGAATCATTTAGGCTAGAAAAGACCTTTAAGATCATCAATTCTGTTTTTAGTACTAGCTAGCTCTGTGAGACCTGCTTGCCTCAGTGCATCCTTACTCATTACTTCAAAACATTAATGACTTGTAGTTGTCCTGTGATCACCAATATTTGCAAGTCTTTCCTTCTGTGATGCAGAAGGGAATTCTTCTGTTGCTCCTGTTTGAATGGAAGACGTTTCACCTTGTGCATTTAAAGTAAATCCCTTTTCCACATCTCAAGGTATCCAGTCAGTTCCCCTTCTATCCGGATCCTCCTCTGCACCTATGGACTTTGGGTCCTTATTGCACTTCATTGCTATGGATCTGCTTTGTTGTAGCAAGAATATTATTCCTCAGGGTTTAAAGAGAGCCTTGAGCCCAGCCCTCCTGTGCTGTGGTCTCTGGCTACTAAGAAAGATGATAAAAAAAGGCAGGTGATTGGATGTGTTTTTAAATGAACATGACAGGATCTTACGTGTTCAAAGGATTTCTGTGCTGTGAGCGTGTGTTGTTTTGTGCCTTGAGCATGCCTGCTGGAGACTTGTTCCTCACGGTTAAGATGCAAGGTGATGGATTCTGGCAGTGCAAACAGGCTTTGGTGTGAGTTGGGAGGCTTTATGTTTAACAACCAAAGTGCCTGTGATTCTCAGGTACCTAAGCAAAAATCTCAGTCTGGAACTTTAGATGTTTAGGTACCTCTGCTGTTTCGGGACCAAGGCACTGAGCAGCCCTGTGGTGTTTTGTACATGCAACCCAATTCTGATAAACAACGTTCTCACTCTTCTTCTGTGTGTTGCATTCGAGTAGTGGCACTGCTGTGGTCGTCTGTTCGGCCTCATTTGACCGTAAGTGCCATTTGCTGCCAGAAGCGCTTCCCTATGTGCACATCCCCAGGGGCAGAAGTACGTGGTAGCAAGCGTGATGCTGTGACTTAAAGTTGTAGTCAGCACAGCAGCAGAATCACAGTTTGCATTCCAGTTCTCCTTATAAATCAATTCAAGTCTGTTTTCAAAGATCAATATGGATGAGGATTATCTTCTGCATCTCTCTACTGCTGTGTGACTTCAGCCAGTACTCTCCTTTCCCATCTTCTCTGTTCTCGAAATGCCAGCCTAGCTTCATCCCTGGTGCAATGAGGAAGCCCCTGAAAAGTCTTGCAAACAGTGGGTAAATCAACTTTAACCCTTTCCTGTAGATTTAGCTTTGAAAATGTAAACTGACAGTTAGGATTAAAAACTCTGCTTTTGCCAGGAGCAGATGGTTCTGGAGATCCCTCCAATTTATGCTTGGCTTGTAATGTGTATCAGGTAAACGTAAGATCTGATTTTAAAAAAAGGATCTTGTAAACTGTTGTGGAAGATTACAGTGGTTACCGTGTGCATCAGACCCCCTGTGTAGAGGGAGTGGTGTTTTAACCGCTTCTGTTTCCAGGAGGAATGTCAGACACTTGTAGCGTAACGTGACAGAGACATTTGTTTGTAACATTGATGCTTTTAGATTTTGAAGGTTTATATCCTTTATGCATTGCCTTTAACCTATTAAATATAATAACAGGTATTGTATATGCTAGCCCTGAACACAACTCCTAAGGCTAAAGGCTAAGCCTAAAGGCTTAACTCTGTACAGATTAATATTTTTACGTGGAATAAATCCAAACTATTAGTGTACAAAATACATTACTGATGTAATTTACTGTAAAAGTAGTGTTTTTCAGATGCAAAAAGTAGTGTTTTTCAGATGCACAACTGTTCTTTGATGATAAGCCCGTATGTTGAAGTGCCTAAATACTCCGCTAGGAACCACACTGATCGTAGTTGAAAAATCAGTGTCCGTTTTAGAGAGTGAGTTTTCCTTTTCCAGTTTTCTGAGTCTGCATTTTCTCTTTCTGCAGCTTGTGGATGTGACCTGGCTCAAGGAGGATTTTTTGTGAGACAGGGAGACTACATCTGTACTTTGGACTACCAGAGACTCTATGGCACCCGGTGCTTCAGTTGTGATGAATTCATTGAGGGAGAAGTGGTCTCAGCATTGGGCAAAACCTATCACCCAGACTGTTTTGTGTGTGCTGTCTGCAGGTATGTTTTCTATGTGCAGTTATATTTCTAAAAAAAACAGATTTTGAAAGACAAATGCCAAGTGTTCAAACTTACAGCCTATAGATGGAAAAAAAAGTAGTTCTGTTTTCTATTATCCGCTCCTTAAAAAGTAGCAGATTTTTTTTTTAAAAAAAATGCAAATTCTGAGTGCCTCGGTTTTTTTCAAATGCTTTTTCTGTTTTATGGTATCTTCTGTGTGAAGTTTTCAAAGTACTTGAGAAACTGCCACTGCCTCTGCTGTCACACCTTTTGCCTTAAGTGTTGCTTTATTTTACCAGTGTCTGCTAATTTGTCTTTTGTTGACTGAAGTTACAAAGGATTCAAATGCCAGTGCCTGAGGCTTTGGCAGGCTGAGTGAATACGATTGAAACCAAAGTTTCACAGTGCTGCTTTCCAGAAACTCTGATAGTCATTTAAAAGACAGAAAGGTCCTGGGCTCACAAACACTTAAGTGTGTGTTGGACTTCACCAAGGATCTCAAGCACCCGTGGGGGTGACAAGCGACACAGCACACAAGGTTTCTCCCCACCCTGAGCAACCCAGTGTAGTTGAGTGGGATCATTTCCCACGTGGGAACATGCGATGTTGTGACCGGGGGTTGGCGGCGATGTTTGCAGGCTCTGCAGTACAAGCGATGGATGTCCCTTTGGCCTGCGTCTTAATCCTCTTCCACGGAAATAACACAAACAAATCTGTTGAAGACTTCAAGAAGAAACTTCTAAGTGCAGCAAATCTTCAGGAAATGCACTGTTATAGCAGTTTGGAGCAAATGGAAATGCCATGATATTATTTCTGGCTAAAACTGAGCCTTTAGCAGTACAAGAAAAGTAGCCCCACGTTCAAAGGGAAAGCACAACAGGGCACCCATGCACCATGTTGTAGATTCTGCATGTGCTGGTGCTGCACTCAGGGGACTGCGCAGCTCAAAACCAACATGTCTGTGTCACTGTGCCCATCTGCCAGCTGAACCTGCCGAGCTTGTGGGGCTGCTGAGCTCAGATGTCCTCCTGTGCTGGAACACAATTAAAGAACAATTAAATAGCCATGTTAAGGGGAAGATTCTGACACTGACAAGCCTTTATTATATTAAATTCTGTCTTTTCAAGTTTTAGTATGTTTAAAAGGAGATTTTTTTTTTTCCTTTTGAATGCTATAAACAAACATGAAGAGTAAAGATTAAAAAAAGCCTACTTTTTTTTTAAATAGGAGGAAAAATGATTTTATTGGGTAATTATAGATCTCATGAGTTAACTGCTGGCCACACATGGTCTCGACCTGTAGCCTGTCAGTATTACAGCTCTTCTGCAGATAAGCACATCTAATTCTTGGTACCTTCTTAGCACCAGTACCTTCTGTAAAGTGAGGTGGTAGGTACTTAATTTAAGAGAACAAGAAAAACTGGTTGATTCCGTTTTCCTGCTAAATGTGCTTGTATCCTCAGCCACACCATTAGGGTGTAGCATTCAGGCATAAATTATTTACCTGTGTGTTTCCGTACTTAGCAGCTTCGTACCTAACTCAGGTTTCGGTCAGACCATTGAATATACTAACCTCCTATTGTATTTAGTCAGTCCTCCGGCCGTTAGTTTGGAGCTTGGTGGTACAATTTGTCTTGTCTCCCTGGAAATTAGGAGTAATTTTCTGTGTGACTGTGTCATTTTATTCTTCCGTACCTAACAATTCAGGTGAGCTGAATTTCAGTACTCACTAGAATGTGCTACAAATGTCATGTGTGTCGAAGACGTGCTAAAGGTTTAAAAATGAAGTTCCTGAAACAACTGTATTTCATATAAAAAAAAAATAAAATAAAATCAGGGATGTTTCCTAACCTTCTGTATAACTAAATAGTTGGATTAAAAGCTGTTTCACTGATGAAGCTTCTAATTGCTGCCATCTAAAACTTCAGTAGGAAAACCTGGATTTGCTCCCACTGCTTTCCTTAGAAGGACACACAAATTCATGTTGTTTTCATAAGAGCCAACTAATGCCCTGCTGAGTGACAGGATTCAATTAGTGTCTCTCAGGGGGGCTGTAACACTGACTTGTGGTGCAGAGCAAGAGAAGAATCCTATCATCTGTTTATAGTAAAAAAAACTGGACCAGTTTTAAATCAGTGTTGCTTCAATTACCCCAGTCTTTGCAAGCCAGACATAATTTATGGGTTTTATGGGAAGGAGAGTCCTATCTAAACATCATGAGCATGTATTTTACTGAGTGATATCCTCAGTAAAAATAAGGTGGGTAGAATGTAAATACATGTGGTTTAAGCAGAAAAAAGAACTTTTTTGTTTACTTGTTTTTAAAAACCAAAATATTTAAAGGCAGAAAAATAGAGCCATTTGATTTGAGGTACTGGATTGTAAAGCACTCTGCCTTGGCATTTTCTTTGGTGGGAAGAGTCAGGAGTACCACTTGTGTCCTCCTTTCTTACAGATGGGCAGAAACCTTAAATAATGGGCCAAAAGCACACTGTCTGAGGGAATTGGCTGATCACACAAACTGCATCTGACATTGCCTTTTACAGCTGGGCTTTAATGTGGGTGCTCTGTTAGGAATCTGATTTCCAGAAGGGTGTGAACTTGAGAGGTGATGATGGCCTGACAGAGGGGTTGATCCTGCTCTAATGGAAACCAAATGAGTTTCTTACCAACTTC